TATATAATATATAAGTACTTTTACTTTTTTATATTTGCTGTGTTGCTACTTCTGCTGTATTGAAAGATCTGAATACTTCCTCCGCAAGGACTGCCTGAATGCAGTAGTTTTGGTCTGTGGGAAGAAAGAACAACTCATCTGGATGCCTTCAGCTCTGTTGAAGGACACACTTATGTCACGTCACATCCCTTAAAGAAACCAGCCCAAAAACTGGGATACAGTTTGCATGCTTCCTATGAAAACTGCGATAAGCAGACACCATTAAAGGTGTAAATGTGCCCCGCCTTATTAATACACCATATCTGTCTAAAAATGTAAATATCTTTGAAATAATGAGCATCTAGAGTATATCTGTTCTATTCTGCCCTGACTTCTCTATGCACATTTTTTGTCTCTTTAACTAGAGGGTGATCAATTTTCAAGTGACAGTCATTTCCAAAAATTGATATTTAGCATTTTGGCACAAGCAACTTCCAGGGGATCAGCTCAGACTTCATCAGCCAACCGCAGCTGGTTTCCCTGCAGGAGAGAGCTGGCTGGTTCGCTCGCTCTAGTCTGGCACTGTAGGCAATAAAAAGTGAGGCTGCTGTTAATCCAGAGAGGAGCTGCCGACTTTCTCAGGCATTGCTCCCTGTTGCATGGCTATTGCTCATATCCTCTAGGGACAAGTCCTCTCTCTCGCTCCCCTCTATTTCTCTCTCTGTCTCTGTGTATCCATTACTTGGACACTCCCTCTCTCTTTCACTCTCTCTCTGTCTTCCCTCCTACCTCTTTCTTTCTTCATCGGTCCAAGTTCTGTCTCTGTGCTCTCGTCCCCCTCCCTGCCTCCATTTACCCCCTTTTTCCTGTGCCGTGAAGTGTACTGTGGCTGAACTGCTCCTCCTTGTGTTTCAGTAGGCACATCACAAGTTACCAGTGAAAACCAGCAGCTAGTACAGATCAGTGTGGCTGCTGCAGTCCAGTGCTTCTGAATCTCTGGGTCACGTCCCAGAATACGCTGTTGGCCTGTTTCTTCTTAGTTCCCAAATGACGAGACAATCAGCATGTTTTAATTAGCTGAACTCTCAAGAGGAGAAACCTATTTATTTAAATTTGGCTCTCAGATGTCTAAACTAAAATGTAGATCACAGGAAATGTGAAAACAATCAATATAATACATTTAGAATACATACAATCTTCTCTCTAACCTTTATCCTTTCTAAGCTTAAAGGGCCACATAATGAAAAGGAGAGCCAGTGGCAAAGTTGGTCAGTATAATGCCAGAATGTCTTCAATATACACCAGGTGGAGCTGTAGTGTGACTTACAGACTGAACATTTAACAACAGGCCTGTTGCTGATTGGTCTGTGATTATCATGAGTCACTGCTGTGTCCCAGCCTTTCATTATGCTAAATATTTCAGCTGCTACAAAACAAGACATTGACCAGGGACCATAACTAACTCTTTGATACAAGAATACAAAGACATTCTCCTGAATGCTGAACTGAAATGAAACCTGGGGGTATTGATCAGATTTTCTTTAGGACAGGAGACTGCTTGGTCTTCATGTGATGCACAAAGGTCCTAATTTTGGACCCATTTTAGACTTTAGCATTAAACTGACATCTGAAGATAGCAGTGGAAGAAGTACTCACACAATCAGGCTGCCCTGGTAGCTCACCTGATAGAGCTGGCACCACGAGGCTGAGTTCAACTCCACCATTTATTGCCCTAGAAATACTCCAGTACTACTTAAATAAAAGGGCAGAAGTGTAGCAACAAAATATACTTAAAGTAAAAGTATTCTTTCTGCAGAAAAATGGCCCCTGTCACCCCTACTTTAATATATATATATACCGTTATTAGACTGGAATCGATCTTTAAGGTACATTTACTGTTGGTTGTGGTGATAGCTTTCTTCTTAGTGGTTCCAAATGAAGGTGTTGGGGCCCATCCAAAGGGTCAGAACATAGATTTGAGGGGTCATGAGATGGTAAAAAGAAGAAAAAACAAGTCTTGCCACACAAATTTTGTTATGGGTGATTTTACTTCTTTGGGACTTAAAGCCATCTCAGATGTTTAGAGGGGAAATGTCTCTTTATACAACCCACAAGCCAAAAAAGGTTGGGAATGGCTGGTTTAATCTTTAACGATGTATTGTATTTTCATTGGTTGAAGAGGTATTTAGATATTTAAGTAAAAATACTCTGTTACAAGTAAAAGTCCTGCATTCAAAATCTTAAAAATACAAAAAATGTCAAGAATTAAAATTCACTAAGAACCAAACGCAGGCTAAAGGGAGTGCAGAATGGCCTATTTCAGAATTATATTAGTGGATTACAACTAGTGATGCGTTAATGTGTACCTTACTTTAATGCTGCAGATAATAATAATAATAATAATTACTTTTATTTAACCTATAGTTTTACACCATAATGTATTGGTTGATTCATATTTTGTATTACTGTAATAAATAATGTATCAAATTAATGTAATGAAGTAAAAAGTACATTTGCCTCCAAAATGTAGTGGAGAAGAAGTATACAGAAGTATAGGAGGGAACTACTTAAGTAAAGTACAATTACCTCAAAACTGTACTTGAGTAATAGCTGTCATGCTTGTCATTTTGATAAGAAATATTTAATGTACTGGGAGTTTATGTTGGAGGGAAATCAATGTCTGTGATTGTCCAGATGAGGGCGCTGTTGTCATAGTAACCTCCTCAGTGGTACAGCCCATACAAGGCGCATCACCTCCTCTGGACGGAAGCCACTACACTACAGATGGCAAGTGGAAAAACAAGAAGATCTTAAAGCAGAAATGAAATGAGTGAATTCAACCTCAGGGTCCCCGGTCTGTTGGACCAGTTTAGTGTTGTTACATATTATAATTAACCTCTCGGTTTCCCTATATGTATCTCTTTGTGTCTTTGCTTATTCACTCGCTCAACCTGACTTTGACCCAAAACCCGCCCACAGCAGAATATCTATCAGATGTATATTGAAGGCAGCCAGTTAGATCACCTCACAGAGCTGTGCGTGTGTGTGTGTGTGTGGTGGGGAAGTTTAGAGGCCCCGGGAGATGAAAGGTGTGTGCGGTCTCTGCCGGGTCTATTATCATGCAGAGCCGAGGGACATCCGACTCTCCACTATGAGAAACACCCTCAGATATCCCCTAAAGACGGGTTTGAGCGGAATATTGATGAGAAGATTAAAAGTTATAAAGCTATAATAAACCCATTTAGGCCTTTAGATGATAGCAGGATGTTAAAACAGACCAATATGTATAATATTTTTATTTTCGCGTTTTTACGCACGCAACATGTGGATCAGTTAAAGCCATAATTGATCACTCAGGCGTTTAAATATACAAAATATTTCAGGAGCATTGAGAAATTTGTCATTTCTGTTTACCTTCTTGTCGAGTTTTTCCTTTCTTATGTCTCTAATAAAGGCTCGAGTTTTTTTTTATTGATTGGTGTTTAAAAAAAACCTCAGAGAGCAATTTCTCCAGGTTCCTCGAGGCCCCGCACTAATCTCCCCCTGCGTCCACCTTTGGTGTGTGGACGCACTCTTTTGAGAAGCATTGAGTCAGATCAAAGAGCCTTTTCCTCTGCAGGTTCACCGCCCACCAACCCAGCCGCAGTTTGTCTTTGACCGGGATATGAATTGAGGAGAGTTCGCTTCAACACGCCCTTTCTTTACTCCAGGAGTCCTGACCGCCTCTGTGTGTGTTCGTGCGTAAATGTGTGTGTATGTGTGGGAGGCGGGGGGTTGTGGTGTGTTGCCTTTTATTTTCGCAGACCAAAGCAGAGGGGATTAGACGATTTTGAAGCACTCACCTTTTATTCAAACAAATTATTCACTTCAGCTAATAAGAGGAATTTGACGCACGTGAACTTTTTGAGGTTGATTCAGCGTTCAACCCCCCATCTCCCTTTATATCTATCTTTCTTTCTTTCTTTCTTTCTTTTGTGGGCCCTCTAATCGATTATGTGTTCTTCTTTTATACTTTAAAACATTGTCCATATTTACTTCCACTTTTGTGACAGTATGCATAAACATACACACATTTCACTTTTAGGTGTTAGTAAGCAGTAGTAAGTAGTTACTGATCACTGGTCTGCTAGAAATGATGAACAGGACATAATTCCCCATGATCAATGAAGAAAGTGGATAAAATCACTTGTGAGGTGCACAAGTGATTTCATCCACTTTCTTCATATCCAAAAACCAACACCACAGGTGCTTCTAGTCTTGGCTCGGCACGGAATGTCCAATACCCATTTGGTCAACTCTTGCGCGCGCAATGGCCATGGAGAGGAGGGGGGTGTTCTGAGGTGAAGTGGGGGTGAGAAGAGGAGGAGTGTAGACCAGAGAGAGAAAGAGAGAGAGAGGAGAGAGAGATGTGGAGTGGCTGTGAGGGGACAGGAAGGGAAAGGAGAGCAGAGCTTTGCTGCTCAATTAGCGTTTTAATCTCCTTGTTAATCTTTCTTCGAGACAACAACAAGATCACACTTTTCACATAGCAGCTTTGTTTTATTTATTTATTTCCAGACACAAAGGGGCAAAGGGAGAAATCGACGCGCACTTTGCGTAAAAACCCAACTGATACCAAACCATTTTTACGCACGACTTTAAATTGGAGTTTTAACCAGTAACCTGGATTTAAGATGCAGTCTCAGCTTTTGGGGAAAAGGCTGCTGTAATTTCAGATCAACTACCGACTCTCATCCACAGTGAAACTACCTGGACACTACCTTTTTTGGTTGGCTCGTTCAGCTTATTTTAATGGTAGTTTTTTTTATATATATAGTTCCAAACACTAGAGACTGGAAGGAAAGGAGAGGACAGGGTGAAGTGGACTGTAAGAAAACAGAATAGGAAAACTGGGGCAAAAACACAGGACACACGTGAGTCGGACTCACTGTATCGCCAACGCTGCAGGGTTTGTGTGCAGACCCAAAGACCCAGCAGGACTGAGCGGGACGCCTCCTTACTTTCTGCCCATGTCTCGACAGCAGAGCACTTTCCCCAGCGCCGGCTGTGTGGCGGTGACGCGGCGAACCATGGACAACAGGCCTGTCCGGAGAAGGCGAACCGGTGCCGTGCGACATCTGCTGCTGGCAGCCGCCTTCCTCGCCTGCAGCTCCCAACTGCTGGTGGTGGACGCCAACTCATGGTGGTGAGTAACTGAATAATCACTAGTGGTGCATTGGTTTTTTTAAAATAAAGATAAACAGTGGGTGAACTATGACCTGGGAGAACAACTGTTGACAGATTTTCAGAATAAGTTTTATATGTTAAAGCCCCCAATCATTGTATCCGAATGATTGATAGCAGCCTTAAAATGAGTTTACAAAAGTTTACTTTCTCATCACATCCTCTGTATTGTTTTTGCTTGAATGCTATTGATAAGATGACAAATGGAAGAAAATTTTAACTATACTTTGTGTTGCCTCTTGCATCTGTGTGTGTTGGGAGGGGGTGATGTTCCAGTCCTGTGGTAGAACACTAACAGTGAATGGAACAAATGTGAAGGCTCTGTCACAATATTTACCCTGGCTGAGCCCCAAATGGCACTGCATGGCGGCCTGCTGCTGGCCTATAGGACCTTCAATTAGCCACACTTGTTCTTGACTTACAAGACAGCATGCAACAATGTTATTCAGCTGGCTTTGTGGTAATGTGGTGCAGGGTGTGTGCAGGTTAGGGGACGCTTCTGTTGGTTTATGCTGAATCAGAATAGGATTTGAGCTTTTTAGGGAAATCAAACATACATTTCCATTCAGAAGTATACCCAGCCATCTAAATGCAATCTAAAGACAACACCCCCGTTGCCCAAATTGTGCCATAACTTTATTGCACTAATACATATGATAACTTGGTAACACAGAACTTATCGCCCTGTCGCTCTTTAGATATGGACCATCTTCACACAGTTTGATTTCCTTTTGTTTGGAGAGCCTTTATGGCCATGAAAGGACACACCTCTGTCACTAATTCATTCCGAGTCATTTTTCCTGTGTGTGGGCACAGATTGTCTTTTTTTTTTTTAAAGCAGAAGTGACTCCAAATGTATAATTGTGGTATAATTGTTTGGGTGAAAAGGTAAGAAGGATAGGAAAGGAACCACATGGAGAGTGTTTCCAGTGATGAACACCAGAAGAGTCTATTTATCTATACTTTATAGGCCAGTTGTACTAATAAACTTGCGTCTGAACTTTGTCCTCCACAGCGACGACCTCCTCTTAGAGAGAGAGTCGTGGATCACAGAAACCCTGTCTGTGCCATTTCTCTTTGAGTTTAACAGATAGAGTTTATTGGGTTTAAATTGAGACTTAATATGGCCTCTGTCTCTCAGGTCACTAGCTCTGACCCCGATCCAGCGGCCAGAGATGTACATCATTGGAGCTCAGCCTCTCTGCAGCCAGCTGTCTGGTCTCTCTCAGGTAAGTTCATGTCTGCCTGCTTTTGTCTTTTATTACTCTCAACTTGAATTCAGTGATAGCTAGATTCTAAAAGGAGCTTATTTTGGGGTGTTTTGGGCTCTTCAACATCAGCATCAACTTCTCCTGTACCCCTGACTCTGAGAAAATGATCAAATAAAGCAGAGAATTTCCCCACAGGGACCGTTAAAGTATGAAACCATTAACCATTAACATGCTAATCTCTGCTAATCTCTCCTGTGCTGCTGCTGTGCCGTCTGCAGGGCCAGAGGAAGCTGTGCCAGCTGTACCAGGACCACATGGTCTACATTGGAGACGGAGCCAAGACGGGCATCAAGGAGTGCCAGTACCAGTTCAGGCAGAGGAGGTGGAACTGCAGCACAGTGGACAACACATCTGTGTTCGGGCGGGTCATGCAGATTGGTGAGTTTTGATGAGAAATCAGGAACAGCATGGAAAGGTTGTTATTGTCTAATGTTTTAAAAGACCTGACAGTCAATTTAAGAGTCATGGCAAGTTCCAGTCTTGTGTTTATTTTGTGCCTTTAAGAGGCTTGTTTGTCTTTCTTTGCCTCCAATTCTATTGTATGTTAATATAGCCAATGTCTCTGTTGGAAGACAATTGCATACAAGCAAAAAAAGTGATTTCCTCAAGTATGCAAAAGCCCTGAAGTTACCCTGGATCAAACCAGAAAAACATGCAAAAAACCCTGCAAGAATCAGCAGTGGCGACAGCTGTTTTGTGTGATTGTCTACTCTGAAATATAAAACCAGTAATGACAGAAGTTGTGGGTGATAGAAAACGTTTGCCAAAATCTATTAAACTGAACAGAACAAAAGGGTTCATTTGAGGTCAGTCAAATAACAGGGTGAAATAATAACACACTGTATTTCAAGAGGAATATGAGTTGAACAGTAGCCTAAAATTTAATCTATACAGAGTATTGTGGGTTGGAGAGATGCTGGCCAATGAATAGGCAGGTCACACAGCCTCAACAGAGTTTGGACAAGGTTATGAACAAATATAAAATATAAACATTTCCAAGTTAGTGCAGCCATAGAGATCAAATACTATAATTTAAATGATATGTTATAATATTTTCTATAATACATAGTGTGACAATGAGTTAAGTTAAATGGTATTTTGTATTTATTAGGCCATTTGTCATAATATTCCTCCTTTTTTGCACTTTATTGTGTTTTATTTTTATTTATTTTATCTTAGTAGCATCATATATGGTGTATATATGGGTTAAACGTTCAACACGAGTGGAGTAAGAGAGTGTTTTAAGTTGTTTTTTTAAGTATAGTCAGCACAGATATTTAAATATTCTTACTGAAGGGTACATTTGGTTCTTTACAATATTTATTATAATATCTGAGATATGAGTCTGTAGGGTCACATTAGATCTTTTTCGTGAAGGAAACAAATACCCCAAGATAAATACTCTGTATTAGTCCTATTAATAATTATTTCATAGCAGGTTTGACTCTATTTGTTTTGCGAGGAGACCCAAAGCCTCAGAGAAAACTGCTCAGAAACTTTTACCTGACTGATTAAACCAGTTCACTTGTAGTTCCCACTTTACGCATGCGCAATGAGACGGATAACGCTCTCAGACGGGAACAGTTGCGCAAGGCAGTTATCAAGGCGCATAGGAACTGGACAATTAAGAGGGGAATAAATCGTGTCATCCATATGCAGTAGTTTTAGAAGATATCCAGCAGTAGCTCAGATCCTGGATCAGTATCATGCGCGTCTAATTCCCAGCAGGCGATGTGGGAAACCTCTCATCAACAAGTAAGTGTCAAATCCGCTGCGGGCAGTCAGACGAGGTGTTTGCTGCTCTTTCTCTGTCTCCGTCCCTCTCTGCCTGTCTCTCTATTGACAGTCAGTCTATCTCCAGGTTTATACGGAGGTGTTAGTCGGTCCATTGTCCCGCGGCTCTTCTTTTGAAATGCGCTGATGAGCTGACACCGAGCCGGCAGATCCGGAGCTGCTATTTGAAGTCTGGGCTCCGCAGTCTCATAAAACCACTCGGCCTCTGTGTCTCTTTATTCTGCTGCATAATATGTACGAGCATCCTGACGGGGACACTGAACCTAAAACCTGAATGAGGGAGCTCACACGCCTCAGCTCTGCGTGCATACCTGCGTGTCTGGCTGCTCGGTGTTTATTCCAGACCAGTCACCCTACATTATATTATAGAGCGATACTGATAGGCTACAAATAACACCGCAATGGACTTGAACTAGTTTGCACATTGATTTGCACAGAATAAGCTACCCAACAGTATATAAAATAGGTAAAATTAGCAGTAAAAATGTAATATACTCATTAATACTGCAGTGATAATAACCTCCAAACACAGACAGGGACTATTTTACTGCATAATAATACTTAAAGTATATTTTGCTGATGCATTTGACTCAACTAAGGTTTTGAATGCAGGACTTTGATTTATAGTGGAATATTTTATTATATTTTATTATTCTGTAGCAACATTACAGGAATATCATAGTGAAACTATAAAAATACCATTATGTGTAAGGCCACTGAACTCATCACTGAGTAGGACAAATGTCCATATAGAATAAAGACATTTAAGGGAGGGATTTCTAAAAAAGCCTCGCTGTGGTGTAAATGCAGCCTCGACCAGAAATACCACAAAGCTGTTTGCTGTTCAAATGCAAATGTTCAGCTTCAGAGCACTTTACCTCCTACCTGTCAGGCCCTCGTCGTCTTTGTCCTTTTACTCTTCTAAATGGTTTGTGTATTAATGCAGAGAATAGGCTTCCAGGCTGTGTTGTGTATTCAGTGTAAAATGGTGTTAGATGGTATTACTATAGAAAGTGAACAGAAATCATTAATACGGACACGTCTGGCAACTACAAAGAGTGACAGAAGTTTCATGGATTCTAAAATATAACACTATAAATATGTATGTAAACTATTCTGATTGCCTGCCACAAGGTCAGCTTTGGTCCGACAGGGTTGGGGTTAGGTTCCTTGTTCTTTGTCGGGGCTTTAAGTAAAAGATCTGGATACTTCTTCCACCACTGCCTGTGCAAATAGTTTTAATTAATTTGTCCAAGATTTCAGATCTTTGAATTTTTTGGCATTACCCCAATACAATGGAGAGGACGCAACTGTTCTCACTGCATTGAAAAATTATCTTCCTGAAACTGTGTACTTTTTACTCTGACAAATCCACAGAACACACCGTCAACAGTTTTAATGTGGACTATTCATTAGGTAGAAAACAGTTCCAATGAAAACTGTTGGCACAGACTAACAGGAACATTGTTTCTGGAAAGACACTTTGCTTTCTTTTTGTTGTGAGCACCACAAATGAAATAATTCCATGGCAACTCAGTTGTGTATTAGGATGGAGGCGAAACTGTTATCTGGGAGAAGTCACCCACACTGACCACAACTAGGACACACAAGGCCAGTTACATGGAAAAACATATGTGTTTACCTCATTAGATGCTGCAACTGTATTATGGATCACTGAGCAGGTATTTAAAGTTGTTGAGTTTAACCAAGGTACCAGGAGTTAGAGCCTAAAATCACATCTATTGTCTATTGTTAGGTCAAGTGGGTGTGGGGCCCTGTATGCTGTGTGTGTGTGTGTGTGTGTGTGTGTGTGTGTGTGTGTGTGTGTGTTAGAGGGGGGTTAACCTGAGCAGTTACCCATGTTTCCTGTCAGTGAACACACACTCACTACAGCCCTAATTACAAAACATGTTGACAAAGTGTAGCTTATGGTGCGTGTTAAAGGGTATAAAGGGTTTAAATATCAGTGGATATTAATATTTAAATGTTAAAAACCTACTTCCTCTCTCCATCAGGCTCCAGGGAAACAGCCTTCACCTACTCCATCAGCGCGGCAGGAGTGGTGAACGCCATCAGCCGGGCGTGCCGTGAGGGCGAGCTCTCTACCTGCGGCTGCAGCCGTGCCGCTCGACCTCGAGACCTGCCCCGCGATTGGCTGTGGGGTGGCTGCGGCGACAACGTGCACTACGGCTACCGATTTGCCCGGGAGTTCGTGGACGCCAGGGAGAGAGAGAAGAATTACCCGCGCGGTTCGACTGAGCACGCCCGAACACTGATGAACCTGCAGAACAATGAAGCAGGGAGACAGGTACGGCAGACATGGACACACATGGACATTAATTTGCTACTTTTTGTGAAGTCTGGAAGTGAAACTTTTTAACCCACATCTGTATGACTGTGAGGAATGTGTGTGTGAGTCAAGGTGGCCCTGGCAGTATTTTTGAGTGTGTGTGTGTTATTTATTGGGAGGGTCCAAATGGTATAACTGCTAACGCCCTTGGAGTCTGGCTAGGTCGCCAGGTCAATGCACATTCCAGTGAAGTAACACACACACACATATAAATGCAGAAACACAATGGACAATAATGCGTAATTGCATGTTGAAATTAAACCACAAAAATTGTGCAAGGAAAGAAGAAAAGAGACTGATGGATTTGGGTTTTTTGGGCCACTCTGGTTGACATACAATAATTAGAAGTTCCAAACTTGATAATGGAGGTAAAGTTGTTTGGAAATGCTTTCAGGTGGGGAGAGCATTACAGGAAATGCTTTAAAATAAACCTTTTCACCTTCAACTATGCCATACACACACACACACACACACACACACACACACACACACCTCCCTCATAAAAGGTCCATTTGCCCATTCTGGTACACATTGGATCAGGAGAATGTGTTTATCTTCAGTAAGAGGAGCTTTGTTTAAACTGTTTGCAAGACCGAGACACTGTGTGTGTGTGGGTGTGTGTATGTGTGTATGTGTGTGTCCTCGTCTCAGCTCCATTTGATTTGTGTGAGAGACAGTGAGCCTGGTTTTGTGCGAGTGTATCAGGGGTCAAAGGTGAGGGTCTGGAGAGGTTGTGTTTCTGCTGAGGGTCCCATTGGGGCTATAGGAGAGTGCATGAGAGAGACAGATCTACTGCTACCGCCTTGTATGAACACACATTCTCACACACACACACACACACATACTTTCTGTAACACACACACTCTTTTGAATGACTTTTCCTCCTCGCCACTGTTTGATCCCTGGTTTTCATTGTTGTCTGTCCATCGAAACGGAAGAGAGGAGAAGAGAGAGATGAAAAGGAGGAGAGGAAGACAGTTTCTCTCTTCCTCTTCATCCCTTCTTCTCTCTCTCTCTCTCTCTCTCTCTCTCTCTTTCTTTCGTGGACACGCCAGTTTGTCCTAAGCAGGATTTGTCTTGCTTGGTTGAACAAGGCAAACCGCAGGGCTTTTGTGAAGGTG